GTCCTCTTACCCCAGGTGTCTCCCTTGAACTCTACCTCTCAACAGCTTTTCCAGTCTCCCAGACTGGGTCAGGCATCTGTTTTATGATCATGGGATACTGAAATTTGCTCTGTGGTGCTTATCACCATTTGTAATTAGATACATTTTTGTATGATTATTTTATTTATGCTTATCTTTTCTACTATACTGTGCTAAGAAACTGGGCTCTGGAGTCAGATGGCCAAGGTTCAAATCTTGATCACATACATGGACCAGTTGGATGGGCAAGTAATTTAGTCACACTGAGACACAGTTTTCTTATCTGTTAAATTAAAATAGTATTTACTTCATCCAGTTTTTGTGAGGGTGATAGTATGTAAAGGATCTAAAGACTGGTGCCTGGCATTCAATTAACCTGCATTGTGAATATATTAAAGTAGAAAATACATATTTTAAAATATATAGCCAAAATAACCCAGAGCTAACCTGTTTCTTTCCACCTACTCTTCCCTCCCTCCCATGCCACTCAGGCTTACTGTGTTATGTATTAGGCACGTATCTTTTTTTACCTATATTATACCCAACTGCAAAAAACATTATCTTACTGAATTTACCAACTTGTAGAATTTTTTAAAATGGAAATGTTCTAAAATGTTATAAGAAATTCCACCATTAATTTTTCCCTACAGGGCAGAAGCCCCTTTGTTGTTTTGGGGTAATACCCAGTAAGTAAAAGGCACTGAATTTTCTAGTTATGTTACTCCATAACAAACCACCTCTCAACATAGTGTCTTAAACCAACCATTTACTATGATTTATTATGGTCTGGTGGGTAAATTGGGCTCCTCTCAATAGTTCTTGTTTGTTTCTGTCATAGTATTGCAGGCAAAGAGAGCAGGGGGCTAAAGTCATCTGTTGGCTTCACTGTGCTGGATGTAAAATGTGATTTCTTCACTCACATGTTTTGGTGGAATACAGTGGATGGAACAATAGCTGAGGACCGGCTGGATTTCTCTCTCTCTCTTTGCTTCTCTCTCTCTCTCTCTTCTCTCCATAGTGTTCTCCATGTGGTAGCTTGGCTTTTTAATAGTATGGAGATTTCAGTGTGTTCACACTTCTTACATGATGTCTGGCTTTCCCAGAATGAGACCTAGGTAGAAACTACAAGACTTCTTTCCTTGGCTCAGGAGTCACGCAGTGTCACTTCTACTGCACTCTGCTAGTCAAAAGCAAGTCACACAGGACCAAGCCAGATTCAAGTGGAGGGGAATACACAAGAGTATGAATTCTGAGAGACATGATTCATTGTAGGGTCATCTTTGAGGACTAATGACCAAAGTAAGCCTATACATATATACAATAAAACCACAAAGACTCTGCCTTTAAGAAGCTTATAGGATAGTATAGGGCAGAGGTTTTTAACTTTTGCACTACTGACTCTTTTTATCAAATACACTTTATTTTTAGAATAATTTTAGATTTATAAAAACATTGCAAACATAGTGCAGTTCACATATACCCTATACCCAGTTTCCTTTATTATTAACATCTTATATTAATATGGTACATTTGTTACAATTGAAGGACCAATCAATTGGTATATGATTATTAACACATTCTATGCTTTATTCAGATTACCTTCGTTTTTACCTAAAGTCCTTTTTCTGCTCAAGGGTCCCATATATTACATTTGGTGTTCATATCTCCTTAGACTCCTTTTGGCTATAATTTCTCACACTTTGTTTTTGATGGCCTTGACAGGTTTTTTTTTTTTTTTTTTTTTTTTTTTTTTTTTTTTTTTAAGAGGCAGAGTCTTGCTCTGTCACTAGGCTGGAGTGCAGTACAGCCATCACTGCTTACTGCAGCCTCGACCTCCTGGTCTCAAGTGATTTTCCCATCTCAGCCTCCCAAGTACCTAAGATAGCAGGCGTGAGCAACCATGCCTCACTAACTTTTATGTTTTTCATAGAGACACAGTTTTGCCATGTTGCCCAGGTCAGTCCTGAACTCCTGGGCTCAAGTGATCCTTCTGCCTCAGCCTCTCAAAGTGCTGGGATTACAGGCATGAAGCACCACAGCTGGCTTCTTGGCAGTTCTGAGAAGTCCTGGTCAGATGTTTTATCAAATACCCCTCTATTGGAATTTGTCTGACGTTTTTCTCATGATTAGATTGGGTTTAGGGCACATGTAGTGTCAACATGACTTACCCATGTAACTTCTGATCACCTGGCTGAGGTAATGTTTTCGAGGTTGCCTCTGTAAAGTTACTCCCCCATGCAACTCCCCTCCCACCTTCTACTGTGGAAGTTAGTAATCAGCCCACACTAAGGAATGGAGAATTATGTTCCCTCTCCTTGAGGGAGGTTATTTATATAAATAATTTGGAATTATTTGGCAAGGAAGATTTGTTTCTTCTCCTCTGATTGGTTATTTTTCAGTAGTTTATTTATATTAGTATAGACTCATGGATATTTATATTATACTTTGAGTTGTAAGCCAATATATGTTGTGCATTTTATTGTTTAAATAGTTCTAGCTTTAGACATCAGGAGGTCTTTCCGATGGTTCCTGTGTCCCTTTGACATACCCCTAACAATGTGGGTTTTATTTTGTTTTCTGAGCACTTCCTTTTTTCTAGCACTACAAGATGCTCCAAGCCCATTTTGTATATTTTATGCTCCAGTCTTAGAGTCAGCCTTTTGTCTAAGGACCCCCAAGTTCCTTTTATTAGAAGCCAAAATCTGTACGGTGTTTAGCAGCATCTTAGGCCTCTGCTTATTACATGCCAATAGCAACCTTTCTCCATTTATCAGTGTTGTCTCCAGACTTTGTCCAATGTCTCCCGGAGAGCAAAATGGCCCCAAGTTGAGAACCAGTGCTACGGAGATAGACCTGTTGAAAATCACATTAAGATAATATAATGGAGAGCAGTGAGAGCATTCCAGAAGAAGCCTCTGAACCTGTCAGCAGATGTGGCTGAAGACTTCAGAGGAGGTTTGCCAGAGGAGGTGCCATTTGAACTGAGAACTGATTCGTAATTCCAGTTTTATTGAGCAGTTATCACAAGCCAGACATAGGCAATGTTTCACTTTCAGTATTTCCTTACCAGCCTTAAAAAGCAAGTATTATTTTCACTTTACAGCTGAAGAAACTAAGGTTCAAAGGGACAAAGTAACTTACTTAAGGTGTTTGAGCTGGTCTGAAGGACCCAGCTGTGCATGTGGATGGAAAGTTTTCAAGGATACTGACATGTGCCTATACTGCTTGAGTCAAGACTATCTCAACTACTTCCTTTGTTTATAGACATGGAATACCACTTGTTGTTGTTGTTTTTGAGACGAGTCTCGCTCTGTCACCCATGCTGGAGTGTAGTGGCATGATCTTGGCTCATTGCAACCTCTTCCTCCTGGGTTCAAGTGATTCTTCTACCTCAGCCTCCCAAGTAGGTGGGACTATAGGCACATGCCACCACGCCTGGCTAACTTTTTTGTATTTTTAGTAGAGATGGGGTTTCACCGTGTTAGCTGGGATGGTCTTGATCTCCTGACCTCATGATTCACCCATATTGGCCTCCCAAAGCACTGGGATTACAGGTGTAAGCCACTGTGCCTGGCCAATAAAACTTCCTTTTTAATTTATTTTTCCCATTGAATTCTGGGTTATTGAGAGCAGGAACCATGCAGTGTTCATCTTATGTTGGCTTCAAGTACAATGTTTGCAATGTGATAGGTGTTCAATAAATGTTTTACAAGTGAATTAACATTGGTCTATGTCATCAAATTTACCACTCACAGCTTAGGGAATTAATTCACAATTCCTTCCAGTCAGATCATGATCCTGGCAGCAGCTCTGGTAGAGTACTCATTGCTGGACATACTAGCCAATCTCCAGGAGTTTTTTAGTCATTCTGCCTTATTGTTTTACTCTCAGCATCCCATGAGGCACAGTTGGCTGGTATCGTGACTTCCTCAAATGTTTATGGTATGTGATCATAGTATGTTGCCATGGGTTAGAGTTGCAAAACAAGAATTCTCTGAGGAAGGGAAAAATATGGTACATCTCTAATATTAACATGTCAGAATGTATTGTTACTAGTTTCCATATGTAATGCCAATTGTGTGTATATGTATTATATATATATAATATATAGAGTGTGTATATATATAATATACATATATTCTTTTGAAAATTCTTTTATCTTGATTGTTGTAGCATTTAAGAGGAATTATGCAGATCATGAAAGATATTTTTTCCTTTCTTTAAATTCCTTCCCATTCTCATCCTAATTTCCTTTTATTTGATTTATTAATTTTTGGTGGTGAGGATGGAGTCTTTCTCTTTGTTTATTAAACAAAACAAGGGGAGAAATATCCTTTTTTTGTTCCTTTTCTTTTTTCTACAACTTTTGGATCTGCTATTTGCAGTTGCTCTGAAATTTTTGTCTATTGAATTAGAAGTTGCTCTCTGGTTTCAAGACTCTCTTTCTTCCTTTCCTTTGCTAAAATTTGGTCTAATTAAAAAAACAGTAGATCATAGTTAAATAAAACTGTACCCAGGATAACCCTAATTTCCATATGCAGATTTATCTGCACTGACAGCCACCCCCCTTACACACACACACTCTCTCTCTTTCTCATTCTCCTTTCCCTCCTCTCCATCTCCCTATTGCATTGTGTCTGACTGATTTTCAGAGCACCTTCGCTGTTTCCCCCTTCTCGTTCCCTTCCCATAAAATATCTAGACAGGAAGGAGGTGGCTGCAGAGGCTGAACAATCTCATATTCTGCCTGCAATGTCATCGTTTCTTTCCCCCATTTTAGGGGGCTGAAGTTGCCCAGCAAGGGTTGCAGAGAAGCTGGAAAGGAAGGGGGGAGCTCTCCAGAGGCAGCTGCGGTCAGGGGCAGGGACTGCCGCCAGATGTGCCTGCCTTTCTGAGCTTTGATGCGAAAGGGGCAGCAGGAGGAAATATTGGGAGACAAAAGCCCCGGTTTAAATGATCATTTTCTTTATTTAACATGGCAGCAGACACTCTCTGCGTAGGATCATCATGCCGAGCATAAACTGGACTTTCCCACTTGCCTGGCAGGAGTCAGACAGATCCCTGTGTGCTAAATGAGCATCTGAGGTAAGACCCACTGTTTCAGATACTTGCCTTTTTCCTAATCAATTAATTTCTTAAATATATGTTTCAGCTTCAACCACCAACAGTATAGTGGGGGCAAATCTGTGTTAATGTGTATCTAAAACGCCAAGAAAAAGCAGAGGTATAATAGATTCAAGTCAATTTGGGGAGGTTAGTTACTTTGTCAATTCTGTGTATGTTGTTTGTTTTTTAGGAAAAATATTTGGTTTAAGAATAAACTAGTGTCATCATAATCCACCACTGGTGATAATACTGATGTTCAGACTCTTAAAAAAACTTTGCAAAAAGACGGTGAGCTACAGATGCATGTGCTGTATTTTTAGCTCACATACAAATATTAAAACTCTTATTAAAATGATAGGTTTTTTTTTAGCAGAGAAGGAATGAATGCTGCATAATTAAGTACAGTATTTAATTTGGCTGTTGTGAAGCAAAAGAATAAGGTAATAATTTTTATTGTACTAATCAGTCTCAAGATGTTCTCTGTGTTAATTGGGTTAAAAAAATTGCAGTACTTATTAGAAATTCTAATTTCACAATGCAGCACTGACAATAAGCTCAGCCAGTGAATTATTCACATCTTTAATTTGCTCACTTAATGACAGTGTTCTGTAATCAGAGTGCAGAGACTGCTGCCTATGCATTATGTATGATGCTCAGGACTTAAATGCAGGACATTATGAAGCTCTCAGTGGTTCAGTAATTAGTTTTCCACAAGACAGGATTTAGATATTCACAGATAAAAGTCCACAGTTGGATAATGCTAAGGTTGCAACACAAAATAACAAAGGAAAGGAAGCTCAAAGTTTAGACTGAAACTTTGTCTCTAGGGCCTTGTCCACCGTGGAAACAGAATCATGCCACCTGAAATAGTTGCCTAGCTCTGATCACATGTTTGAAAACTGTTTTTGAACAAAGTTGTAGCAGGCAAGGCATTTGAACAATTTCAGTGGACCAGAGGCGAAAGATAAAACCTTTTTAATTAGTGTTCACAGAAGCCCTGCAATATATCCTCCTAACAAGTCTGTAGTATGCATAGCAGGCATCCTCAATGTGCTTTGTAACTTACTTAGTGCAAATGCAAATCAGGTTACAATAGTGTTTGGCTGTAATTGTGTTTGTAAAAGGGTTACATGCCCAAATGGAGATTGAGCTTGCTCATGGTTTTGTTCCAATTGCTTCTGAGGGAAGGTTTGAAAATCAAATGAGATATTAAGTAAATTTGGGCATGAAAGGGAGTAGATCCAAATTGTCAGCGCAACTTTGGAATTTCTTACACTTGTCAGTTTGGAGTTGTCAGTTTTTCCTTAATGATGCTAAGGTTGTTCTGTCATAATTATGTAACTTTAATGGATTATCCAGCCCATTGAGCAGTACTTTAAAAATATATGCTAGGTTTCAGAAAACATGTCACAGTATCATTTCTAAAGTTTAATAAGTAACTCGAAATCTTTAAGTGATTTTTTAAAAGAAGAACATACTGCTTGGTAAATTATATAGGGTATTTTTGAGAACTTAAATATTAATATTTACTAATAAAATCTCACTGCATTATCATTCATCAGTCTAAGATTTATGCTCATTTTCAAAATCCAGGAGTTAGAATGCTTGATAAAAATTGGTATCCAACGTTGGAATACATAGTAATACTTTGTAAAAAACCGCCTCTTATAGATTAGAGCATTTTCTACAAGAAAGTTGAGTTGAGAAGTCTTATAAGCAAATGTAATATTTAGTAAACAATGAAGGGTCAAATTTCTAAAAGTTAAATTTTACCATACTTTGAACAATTCTAAATTAAAAATTGTCACATCTCCAAATTTGACTTCTAATTTCTAGAACTAAAAACTTACTTCAAGAAAATAAAAAAACTTTTTAATAAATGTTGAGGAAGCTATTGCCTGTGTGATACTTAGAACGTATTTTCTGGAAATGGTGCTTGATTGGAGCAGAATTAGGATAGCTAGGCAGCTGAGTAGGTGACCTGGCTTTGACTTGGGTTTGGATCCAGGTTAGCATCCTTGTATGGATAACATGTGGCAATCCAATCATCTGGTGGTGGTGGTGCTGATGGTAGTTAAATAAAGTTCTTTTTTTTAAAAAAAAAAAAAAGAAAGAAAGACAGTAATGGTTGAGAATTAAGAAACTTGAGTTCTATTCCTGCTTTTCCACAAAACAGCCATGGAGTTTTAACAGGTAGGAGTAAAATTTTTTGAAGATTATACAGCACTAGATAAAAACAAAGGAGTTTTATTTAACATAAAACTAAATGTAGGCCGGGTGCGGTGGCTCAAGCCTGTAATCCCAGCACTTTGGGAGGCCGAGGCGGGTGGATCACAAGGTCGAGAGATCGAGACCATCCTGGTCAACATGGTGAAACCCCATCTCTACTAAAAATACAAAAAAAAAATTAGCTGGGCATGGTGGCACGTGCCTGTAATCCCAGCTACTCAGGAGGCTGAGGCAGGAGAATTGCCTGAGCCCAGGAGGCGGAGGTTGCGGTGAGCCGAGATAGCGCCATTGCACTCCAGCCTGGGTAACAAGAGCGAAACTCCGTCTCAAAAAAAAAAAAAAAAAAAAAAAAAAGCTAAATGTATTTCTTCGAACCTGTGTTATTCATTATAGCAGGGATTGCCATCCATTTCTAACACTCTATAATGCTAAAATGTCAAAATATTCTCAAGCAAATCAATTTAAATTTAATTAAATAAAAAATAAGCCATGAAGGGGAAAAAAGTATTCTTCTTAGGCATTTGGGGGAGAATAAGAGCATTTTGAAGTCTCATAAAATCAATTTGGTATTACCACTCCAAAAAGGTTAGCAATCATAATGCTTTAGAGAGTTCTTCTACCCATAACTTAAAAAACACTTGCATATTAATATTCTAAGAAGTCTTATGCATGAACTGTCTGCTAATTACTAAGATTTCAGCCATCTTTTTTATTATATATTGTGTGAGTCAGATTGAAATCATTTATACGACTAAATTTTGGAGCTCTTTTCCTCACTAAAAGTCAATTGACATATCAATCAATCAATAATTGACTGATCAGCTGGGTGTCATGGCTCACACCTATAATCCCAGCACTTTGAGAGGCTGACATGAAAATGGAAAGCGAGCTGATCAGATGTGTGTTTCACTTGAGGCCAGGAGTTTGAGACCTACCTGGCCAAAGTGGTGAAACACTAACTCTACTAAAAATATAAAAATTAGCCAGGCATGGTGGTGCGCACCTGTAGTCCCAGTCATTCAGGAGGCTGAGGTAGGAAAATCGCTTGAAACTGGGAAGCAGAGGCTGCAGTGAGTCTATTGTGCCACTGTATTCTAGAAAACAGAGAAAGACTCCGTCTCAAAAAAATTTTTTTCTAAATTGACTGTGAATTATTTTTTTCAACACCTACTGAGCACTTATTAACAAAAATAACATAGTTGGCTCTGTCACCTAGGCTGGAGTGCAGTGAGGCAATCTTGGCTGACTGCAACCTCTGCCTCCTGGGTTCAAGAGATTCCCCTGCCCCAGCCTCCCAGGCACCTGGGATTATAGGTATGCACCGCCACACTTGGCTAATGTTTGTATTCTTTTAGTAGAGACAGGGTTTCACCATGTTGACCAGGCTGGTCTTGAACTCCTGACTTCCTCTCATTCTTGAAAGGCCTTATCCCTCTATTCCAGGTGAGAAATTGAAGCCTAAACAAGTTAAGTAACTTGACAGTACGACACAGCTGGTGAGTGGAAGCTGGAATTGAACCAGCTTTAGACACTCAATTTTCAAACAATAGACTATATTTTCACTTTCCAAGGCCTTCTGCTAAGGCTGAAAGAAGGTAGACTGATAGAAGTTCTTGTCCTCAAATTACTCACAGTGGTAATACTTGAATTTCTTTTACCTGGCTCAGTTGTTGGTCAAGATTCTTGCTCCTCATAGTGCAGCCCAGAGACCAGCAGCATTGGCATCATCCAGAACTAGGCTTAGGTGTTTCTCAGACACTAATGTGGACTTTGAATCACCTGGGATTTCTTTATAACAAAGACTCTTATTCATTAGGTTTGAGATGGGGCCCAAGATACTTTTCGGACAAGTTTCCTGGTGATGCAATATTGCTGTTTGAGAAACCTCCATTTGGTGAGTTCTACAATTTGTCTTGGTTTTTAGTGTGTCTGAGACAGACCCAGTATAACAGATTCCTCACTGAGTCATAGCTTTCCTTCAATTCTGATGTTCTCTTGATCCACATCGAAGAACTTTTACCTTGGCTTCTTGACTACCGCCCTTCCTGCCCTGGGTCCCAACCTGCATAGCTATGGCCCAGAATGTCTGCTTAGCTCTAGGTTATATCTTTCTTTCTTTTTTTTTTCTTTGGAGGCAAAGAGTCTCGCCCTGTTGCCCAGGCTGGAGTGCAGTGAGGCAATCTTGGCTCACTGGGTTCAAGAGGTTCCCCTGCCTCAGCCTTCCGTGTACCTGGGATTACAGGCATGTACCACCACACCTGGCTAATTTTTGTATTCTTAATAGAGACAGACTTTCACCATGTTGGCCAGGCTGGTCTCTAGCTCCTGACCTCAAATGATCTGCCCACCTCAGCCTCCCAAAGTGCTGGGATTACAGGCATGAGCCACCGTGCCCGCCCCTAGCTTAGACTTTGTTTTGTGGGTCTGAGTTCACATTCCCAGTTACCAGTGATATTGTAACATCAGCCTGGTTGAGGATCTTCATTCCCTCTTCTTCATCAAAACCAACTGTGAAGCGTATTAAAAACCTGCAAGCCTTCTAGGTCTATAGCCATAAATTTTAATTCTGGGGCAAGTCTTTGGAATTTTTTTTTTCTTATACAAAGTGTTGTATTTGATTCTGATGGGTGTCACATACCAAGAACAACTTCCCTAGAGACCCCTGCTGTGCTCTGACCTGATGGGAACACCTTGGAAAGTAATATCGGCATGGCTTGGGTTCAAGTTTATAACATACAGAGAACCTTTTCTCTATGCCTCTATGTTAGGATTGGGAGCACAGCATGGAGAGAACTTAAAACTTTACTGAGCTACTTTCAGAAGGCTCTGCTGAGTGATAGGCATTTGAATTGGATGGCCATTGAACGAACAGGTCCTTTGTTCAGGCCAAAGGAGTAGCATATGCAACGACAGATAAAAGTGAGAAGTGTCTTAAGTAGACATCCATTTTGACAAAAGTGTCTAACACATGGAAAGGAGAAGTATGGGATAAAATTCTAAAGGTAGATAAAAGCCTCACTTTTAGAACTTCACATGTTAAACTAAACAGTATGTGCTTTATTCTACATATGAGGATTATCAGAGGTTAAGATGGAAAGCAAGCTGAGCAGATGTGCATTTCAGAAAGATACCCTTGGCATCGAGACAGATTAATTCAGTGAGGCAAGACTGAAGGCAAAGAGATCAGTTAGGTACCTGTGGTAATAGAGTGTGAGATGAAGAGGGATCCTTTCCTTGTGTCATATGCCTGGGCCCTGAACTGAAGTTCCTCTGTCTGAGACACTGATGATGTTCTTTTTCACACTTACATTTCATAGCAATAGCCTGCTAAGCTTTTTAGACCTTATAAATGGCATGGCCTTGAGAATTCAGGTAACTCAAAGCTTTTATGAGCCATCAATGGTTCTTACTTCTCCTGATTATGTTATTTTATAGTGCTGAGACAGCTGGCTGCAGGGTTCTTCCCTCAGGAGATACTTAAAGCTTTTAAGGTAATTATTTGGGAGCAAAATCTTCTACAATGGCCTAAGATAAATTTGAAACCAGTTAATGAGCAGCAATATGAATGCCAGTGGTGGGCGAGTTGTGTCTAGGCCTGTTGAATGCACTGCTTTTGCCCTAGCTTTGGATAAAGAGTTTGTACTTGACCTAGCGTGATTTTTTTAGGTCCTGTCTCTGGATTTGTTCCTTTTAGAGTGACAGCTCCAGTCAGCTGTCTTTTATAAGTAAGCTTAGATATATTGCTTCACTAGCCTTCATTTACTCACCTCTACGTAGAAAGCTCACTAAATTCTAACAACTACATATATTGTATTATGGAGTATATTTGGGAGACAATAATACTCACTTCTCAGATGTGCTTAGGCATTTCAACAAGTTTTTGACCCAGCCTAGTTTTTTCTGATTTCCATTTCTGTTCTGTACTTCCTTGTTCTTAGCTCAACTCTGTCTTCCTTTAGGGGGTAAACTGAGTGTCCCCCTCCCCCCGAAGATTTCTACTTTATAACTCTCAGAACCTGTTAATATGTTACCTATACAGTAATCCTCCCTTATCTGAAGTTTTACTTTCCACATTTTCAGTTACCCATGGTCAATCACAGGTCTGGAAATATTAAATGAAAAATTCTAGAAAGAAACAATTTGTCACTTTAAATGCTGTTCCGATTAGTGTGGTGAAAGCCACACTGTCCTACTCTGTTCCACCTGGGTGTTAGTCATCCACTTGCCTGGTGAAACCCATGCCGTAGACACTACAAGCCCATTAGTCACTTAGTAGCTGTCTCCATCATCTTATCTACTGTCAAGGTATTGTAGTGCTTGTGGTCAAGTAACCCTTATTTTACTTAATAATGTCCCCACTGTACAAGAGTACTGATGTTAGCATATTGTTAAAATTGTTGTTTTATTATTATTGTTGATAATCTATTACTCTGCCTAATTTATAAATTAAATTTTATTATAAGTATGTATATATAGGAAAAAAGAGTATATATAGGGTTCATTATTATCCTTGGTTTCAGGCATCCACTGGGGGTCTTATCTCCCTTGAGAATAAAGTGGAGAATACTCTATGGCAAAGGGACTTAGGTGGTATGATTAAGAATTTTGAAATGGGAGACTATTCTGGTTTTTCTGGGTGGCACCTATGTAATCAAAAGGGTCTTTTGAAAAGATAGGCAGGAAGGAGTCAGAGAAAGGAGGTGCTACTGCAGGCATCCCCAAACTACGGCCCACGGGCCACATGCGGCCCCCTGAGGCCATTTATCCAGCCCCCCGCCGCACTTCAGGAAGGGGCACCTCTTTCACTGGTGGTCAGTGAGAGGAGCACAGTATGTGGCGGCCCTCCAAAGGTCTGAGGGACAGTGAACTGGCCCCCTGTGTAAAAAGTTTGGGGATGCCTGTGCTACTGTGTTGGATTTGAAGACAGAGGGAGGGGCTATGAGCCAAGGAAAGCAGGCATCCTCAGAAAGTGCAAAAAGATGGAAATAAATTTTACTGTAGAGCCTCTAGAAGGAACCAACTTTGCCAATGTTGGACTTCTTGTATCCAGAACTGTTTAAGACAGCAAATTTGTATCATTTTAAGCCACATAGTTTGTGGCAATGTGTTAGAGCAGTAATAGAGTATTAATATAGTATGGTGTAACTTTGATTTGTTTCTTTGCTCAGTTTGTCCCACCGATAACATTTTTATTGGTTTATCGTTACTCTTCCTTGAATACTTCTCTTTTATTGAGTCAGCACCTTTACTCTTTCTGAGCATCCATTTCCTCAGGACTTTATCTAATATCTAAGAGATGAGTGACTGCTGGTGCTGTTCTGAGGGGAGTGAGGAAAGCCCAGCAAAGCATGCCACACTGTCTACTGTACAGTAGTTGTGTGATAACTGCAGTTCCTGTCCCTTCTTGGGGTTTTGCCAACTTGATCAGTGGGGTTTTACTCACAGTCTTGGAGAAATTTAAAAGCTGTTTTGCATACTGACAGCTTACAGGACAGAAAAGTTTCATTGAGAGTTTAGATTAGTAAGTGCTGAGTGCTAATAGCATTTCTAGATTAATTTCATTTTCTTTAATGCATTTTGAATCTCATTTAGAAGATATTTTAATTTTGAATTCTTGGCTTTTGTGGTAAAATACATCTCATTTGTGGTCATGTTTATATTTTACATACTTAACTAGCTAAAGCTTAGCAGAGCAGAATTTCCTCCCCCCACCAACACACTAGAGTCCACAGTACAATTAGTGTCCCACATAGGTAGAGGCCTTATGGGTTAAGTGGGAATGCAGATGAAAGTACTTTGTCAAGTCTTTTGCTGTACAATGTAAATTGTTGGTACATTGTTGCATTTATAAGGTTATGAGCTCCTTGAGAATAATACTGTATATTATTTCCTTGGATCCCCAAGGCCTTATAAGATTTGTTAAATAAGTTAATAAATAAGTTAGAAAATTAGACTGGGGCAGGGAAATGAAGAAAAGTTGGACTAAAGGAAGACAAAGACCTGGATTTGATAGTTCTTTGAGTAGGATAACCCACTATTTGTCTCGGAAATGGCTCCTGATCCTTGTATTTGTGCTGTCACCCCCTAACCTATACACAACTGGTGTGTAAATGCTAAACCCTCCCTCACATGAACTTGTCTCAGTAACTCAGACTGCGCAAATAGGGTGGGCATGTAAAGACCCCCACTCCCTATAGTATTTTCCTGTTGCTACCTTAACCAGTAACCATAAATGTGGTGGATTAAAATGACACAGATTTGTCATCTTACAGTTCTGTAGGTAAGAAGTCTGGTCCAGAGTCTTAGCTCTCACCAGGCTAAAAACAAGGTTTCAGCAAACTGTGCTCCTTTCTGGAGGTTCTAGGAAAGAATCTGCCTTGTTCATTTGAGTTGCTGGCAGAATTCAGTTCCTGGTAGTGGTGGGGCTGAGACCCCCACTTTCTTGCTTACTATCCAAGGGATATTTCCAGCTTCTTAAGGTCATCCACATTGCTTGTCTTATAGACCTGTTCCTCCATCTTCAAAACCCACAATGGCAAGTCCAGTTGCTTCCTCATTTCACATTTCTCCTCTTCCATCTTTCATGTGATCTTTTTTGCCCATTCTTTTGCCTCTCTCTTTAAATTTCAAAAACTCATGGTTACTTTGGATCTATATGGATAATCCAGAATAATCTTCCCAGCTAAAGATTCTTGACTTAATCATACCGGCAAAGTCCCTTTTGTCTTTAAGATAAAATATTCATAGGTTCTAGCGATGAGGAGGTAAAACTCTTTAGGACATCATAATTCTGTGTACCATAGCCCCTAATTTGTAACATTTGCGTATATTTTAATTATTCCACATTTTGTTTTCTGATTTGTATAACAGCAT